CTGCCCCGGGCTTCCTGGAATCAGCCGCTGATCAGTTTCAGCAGCAGCTGACTTGGGGATGCCTGGGGTTCTTAAGTTGAATCTGTATGTAAGTCAGAATTGGCGTCCAGATTCAGCCGCTGTTGAAACTGATCAGTTTCAGCAGCGGCTGAATCTGGATGCCAGTTCCGACTTACATACAGATTCAACTTAAGAACAAACCTACAGTCCCTATCTTGTACGTAACCCGGGGACTGTCTGTATAGCTTTAAAATATTTGACTTAGTCTCTTATCTACAATATGATGATTTACTAGCTCACTGATAGTTTAGTGATGGGATTGGGCTCCTCATTCTCACTCTGAGCTAGATAAGAAATTTCCCAGTTCAGGGTGTTTGCACCTGTATTCTCCCTCTGAACTCCACCAAAGTCCCAATCTCTGGGCTCCTGGCTCCTTAGACATCACTTCTCTTGATCACGCACCTGAGTCTGTCTTCCCTCCTGACTGGGATTGCCAGCAGTCACAAGTTACTACACAGCTCTTAGGCAAACATTTATTTGTAAAGAGAATCCATTACAGAGAAAACATATTAAAACAACAAGAACATCTACACAAATACTAATAAGTTTACCAGAGATCACCCCCTCTCCAATAAGGGCTTTGGCAGGGAGTCAGGCTTTCCAACCCTACAAAGGGAGTTTCTTTTGTTGCAAGTTCAAAACACCCAGCACAGTCAGTCCTTCCTTAATAGAGCTGGAGCCGTTGATCTTGAGACACCAAGAACTGGTAGTCAGTAGACAGCGGTGCTCGTGTCAGAGTGTAGCTTCCAGCAACTGAGTTTTTACATGAATGAAGGTGGGTAATTTGTATTTACCTCTCTGTAGAGACTTCCCAGGCAGACCACTTGTCACCATCACAAAAGTCGATTCTTGTCTGGCACATCATTGAGTATAATCCCTTGAAATTCATAACGTTTGCTAGGGTTCACATCCTGTCTCCTCCCAGAGTAGAGGCTACGTATAACCCTGGCCCACAATTATACATAAACCTTTCAAGCAATACACTGGACCCCAAATGTACTAGATCTTAATTCAGTAAGGTTTTCCAAGGAAATTGCTATGTTGGTCACAAGACCCTTAGAAGCTGGAGTATGAAAGGCCGATGACTCATTTGGAAGTTCAGAGTTGTCCATGCCGCAGCAGCCTTCCTAATGCTAAAATGCCCTTTTACTTTCCCAGTGCTCTCAGCTTTTAGATGAAAACCTAAGAGATGATTTCTTTGAAGAAATAATAGAGGAGTATGAAGACATCAGACAGGACCACTATGAGTCTCTCAAGGTAAATAAAACTGCATTGTGTATGGATTTTAATTCTTTTCCTTCTAAAATGATTGGTCCTTATATCATTATTGTTCATAAAACAAATTCCATTTGTTGATTTTCTTTGGGCATATTTACATCCATAGATAGTGCAAAGTCATCAATTTTTAAAAAGACAGCATGAAATGGAATTGTGTCAGGCCACAAAGGAAACTCTACCCAAGTCTCAGCTCTCACTTAGGAAAGGCCTGATGGTCATGGTTGAATATTTACACTGTAGTAGAGTCCAAGATTAGGGACCTACAGAGGAGTGGAGATGAGAGCCTAGAGAAGAGTTTTAGCTGTCTGAAAAGGACAGCCAAGTTTGCTTTTTCGGAATGTTGGGAAGGAGGAAGAATTGACTTGGAGACAAACTGAATACGAGGGATGTGGCTACCATATGTGCTGAAGATGAAACCTAGGTTTTCCTTGTGTCAAGACAAAGAAGCATGCCCAAAGGTCAGCCATCTCTAATGTGGTCTCTGTGCAAGGGAAGTTGATTCCAAAGCTTAGGGCCCTCTGCTGGGAACACCTTGCTTAAAGTTTCTCATAAGTGCACTAGGGATGTGATAGTGTACACATTTAAATGGTTAACCAGTGAGCCTGGGTTCATTGGTTAACCCTCACGGCTCCACACACAGCCCCCTTCCACATGCTGCTGCCTCTGTGTCAGAGGCAGTATTATGTGTGGAGAAGAGGAATGGGCAGGAATCTCCACAGGAGCCGATAACGCGTGGGGAGCTCGCTTAAAAGCCAGCTCCCTACACCAGCTCCTGTGGAGCCGCCTCACCTTATTCCCATGCGTGTAATTGTGCAACCGTTGAAATTTTCAGTGGTTACACATTTATCAAAAAAACACCCCATTTTAACATCCCTCAACTGCACCATAACTGGTGCAGCATCTCTGAGAAGCGAAGTGTAAACCAGGAGTGAATTCCTGAGCTGACTGAAGTCAATGGCAGAATTTTTATTGACTTCGTTGGACCAAGATTTCATCCTAGGTACCGGCAACCACTGGTGTTTTTACGAACGACATCTAGGCTTGCTCTGAGTAAGATTAGTTAACAGAGATAAAATGCAGCACCTTCCTATGTAGTTGCACTCACTTGGTTGAACTAACAAAGGAACTTAAACTTGTGTGGTGAGATTAATGCTTGATGATCTTTAGAAGCTAGATCAACTAGAAATGTCTGTCACTTAATAATAGTACAGTAAATTGACTAATTCATTGCAAAGTACATTTTATATTAGTCTTGCCGTGGTACTTGCTAGTTGATTAAATTAAAACTGTCAGACATATCAGCAACATTATTTCAGGCTGTAACGAGGCCATTGAAATTGCTTTGTTCAAAGCGGAGAGGTTATATAAATATACCGTTTATTTCCATACAGGAAAGAAGGTATTTGTCATTAGAGCAAGCCAGGAGAAAAGGTTTCCATAATGACTGGCTGTCAGACTGTAAACCAGGTCAGTTTGCATTTTTAATTGGATACTGAGTACTGTATTGCATAACCACACTGGATCTCCTCTCACAGGGAGTATCATGACTTGCAAATAAATTGGTATCTGTTGAATTTGAGGAGTGGTTGCACAAATGGGAGATCAGTCACCTAAAATTAAATGTTCTTTTCCCCTAGTTTGGCCCCATTATATTTATTTTTGTTTCTTCTGATTTCCAGTTTCAGAAAAACATGGCTATTTAAATATTTTAAACGTTGCCCGAAAGTGAGGGTTGTACTTTATTTTAAAATAGATCCATGATAATACATGTAATCAAATCAGAGAAATGTAGGACTGGAAGTAAGCTCTGTTCATCTAGTCCAGTCCCGTGCACTCAAGACAAGACTAAATAATAACTAGACCATTCCTGACAAGGATTCCACAACCTCCTTTGGTGTGCATTCAATAGTGCCTACTTTCCCAAGGCTGAAATGCAGCACTCAGTTTCCAATAACTTAATCATTATGAAGGTCTCTACTGAAGTAGCAAATAAGGTGGGAGGGAAGCAAGTGCTGGACTAGTAGTTGTATCATAACAAGGATCCCCTATTGCGGATGTACATGGATGTGTGGTAAAGCTCTTCTAGCTTTCAGACTAACTTTCATGTGGAATTCTACAGCACACAACTCTAGTGAATTGGGCTATGTCTGTGTAGAAAAGTTGGATCTAAAAACATCAATATAGAAGGCATTTAGTGGAGAGTAGTCCATGCATCTACCCAGTTCTGACCTATTCTAAGTCTCTGATAAACAAGGTAACTTCAAGAGTCTAGCACAGTTAAATACCAATCAGTATTGAGTTGGATGAACTGATAAAGGAATTTTAAATTTCGTGTCAAAACTAATGCAAAACTAGTTTATCAGATAATAGTGATACAATACTTAATTTATCGTAACAGTCTTTTATAAAGGATGACAACTTTTAAATACTTGGTTGTGGTGTGCAGATATTGATAAGGGTTCAAAAGCATAGTGAAGGAGAAAACAAAGTCATAAATGGTGGTGATGAATTGTGTTTACTTGCTATGGAGTGTATATATAAAAGATTCAGCAATACGTAGTATTTCGCTAATGACAGACTTCTTTAAACTCCTACAGTTAAACCTAAATTCTTTGGCACTCAAGTTTTTGAAAATTATGATCTGGAGAGGCTGATGGAATACATTGACTGGAAGCCTTTTTTTGATGTCTGGCAACTGCGAGGCAAATATCCCAACAGAGGGTTTCCTAAAATTTTTAACGATAAAGCAGTGGGTGAGTATTGAAATAGAATTCCTTGCATGAAGGTGATGAAGGCAGTTCAGTTATTTACAATTATATATTCTGATTGCACACAAGTACAGGGCGGCATCTTTGATTGAATCAGAAAATATTTTAATGAGATGTTAGCACAAAAGATCAATAATTAACACTAGGTGAGAAATGTTTAGGCCCCAACTATAAAGAGTTCACTGGTATGTCAAAAGAGTAGAAAACATTTTGATAATAGGAATGATATATCTATGTATTTATTGTTGAACAACATTACTAGAAGGCCTCAACTTCCATTTGTATAATCTGAAAAGTACTTTTAAAATATCATTGAAACAAATGCAATAAAGCTGCAAGCATATCCAAACAACTAAAAATTAGTGTTCTTTCTTCTGTGCTATATTTAGAACCCTTTAAATCTGTAGATACTGGCTCTTTTATCTGTGGCTGTGGTTATTGGTGGACCAAGTTTGAAGATTGGAAGCAGATACAAATTTTGTATCCACACAGGACTCCAACTATATGGGGAAGCTAGATAATTTGGGATGTGACATAATACATGACGTTTTTAATATACAGTACGAGAGTTTGTAAATGTGTCCAGTGAAATTGGGAACTAAAAAGTAGATACTATCAAAATAAGGATTTTTATGTGGTCTTGTGTTTTTTGGATAAACAAGATACGTGGTTCACTCTTCTAAAGCAGCCTACTTAATGGCATGTTTACTAGTAATGGTTTACAGCACAGATTTTGTCATGCATTTGAGAGTAAGAGGATCCCAACCACAATATTTCTGGTGTATTTAGGTACATTCATGTATAGTTTGTCCATATCACTTATTTTGCTTCACCTTGTTTCAGCCTGCCGAATTCTAATACAGTAACTCTGTTAGCAACAATAAAAAAATCTACTGTGGTAACCAATCAGGCCATGTCTACACTGAGAGATGAGGTTGAAATTATTAAGGGCTATTTTTAGCACCTGCTTTTGTAAAGTCGAAGGTGCTTGTCCCCACTGTGCATAAGAATTTGATGTAGTTCGAAGTAGCGCGTCCCCAGTCGGGTGGCTACTGTTGTCTTTGAGAGTGATGCACTGTGGCTGGACAGTACCTGCACCCCTTTGCATTTTGGGTTATGCTCCCAATGCATGCTAGGAGCAAAACTGTGTAGTGGAGAGTTCTGGGTACATGACATCAAGTGGCCCATAATGCACTCATTTCCACCCTCCCCTCCTGCTTCAGACCAATGGCAAACAGTCTTTTCATGCCCTTTTTTCTCTTGTTGGTTATCTGCGCAGACGCCATAGGAGCATGAGCATGAAACCCATCCTGGATCCCATTATTATGATGACGATATTAACCTTAGTGCATCTAATGCTGGAGTATGTCCAGAGTGTCTCCAAGGTCTGCCGGAATATGAGAGAATCTCAGGAGCCATGAACACACACTCTTCTGCAAAGCACTTGAGCTGAGCGAATTTCAAGTGCCACTGGCATTCGATCCTCTGGACACAGTGGGACACCTGTTCTGGTGCTGTCAGACAAGCACAGACTAGTGGGACTGCATTGTGATAGGACAATCCACAGTGGCTGCAAAACTTTCGCAAGAATAAGGCCACTTTCATGGAAGTTTGCGAATTGCTTTCCTCCAACACGAAATGCAAGAATAAAAGAATAAGACGGGAGGATGTGTGTGTCAATTGCCCTGTCTAAGAAGGAGTTCTGGAAAGCCGCCATGCGGTCCATCACATCCACCATGGACGACAACACTTTTTCCTGGTGCCTCACTTCCCGTTCCCTGCACGCTCTCCTTGCATCTCCTCCAGCAGTACATTCCTCCACACACTTTGATGCTCCCTCTCCAAGTTGGCGGATTGCATTTGCTCCTTGATTATCTCTTCCCTAGTCCATTTTCACCTGTGAATTTGTGTCAGTTGGACAGTTAGCAGGGCTGGGGGAGACATCATGGGAGGATGGGATTGTTTCCAAAGTTATAAAAAGGTCCTGGCTGTCAGTGACATCCGATGCCCCACTTACCTGCTAATCATTCTCCTCCCCCTCATCCATGCTGTACTCCATGCTGCTTCCCAAGATTGCCAGAGGAGTGTCTTGGGTGGAATCCGTGGGCTGGCTAGGGAAGCTAGTTGGGTCATCCCCTTCTTGCTTCCCCCACCCTCCCGTCCCCAGGATGGCATGCAGCTGCTCATAGAAGTGGCATGTTTACAATGATGCTCCAAACCATCCATTTGCTTCCTTTGTCTTTTGGTATGACTGCTTCAGCTCCTTTATTTTCACTCAGCACAGCTGGGAGTCCCTGGCATATCCTTTCTCTTTCATGCCTTTTGCAATCTTGGCATAGATATCAGTTTTTCTTTTGTTGGTTCGTAGTTTTATGAAAAGAAATTCCTCTTCCCCACACAGCAATGAGGTCCAGGTTTTTCTCCATGCTGGAGCTTGTCTGCGACCCTGGGAACTCATAGAGCTCATGGAACTTGAACTCATGGAATTCATAGTCAAGTGTGCTGGTCAGGTGTGCTGCCTGCTCTGAGGACTGCTCACCATACTAGCTACATAGGAAATTAAATTCAAATTTTTCCAGGGTTTTTCTTGTTCACCTGGAGAGCAGTAGACTTCAAAGTTGTGGCCAGAGTGGTCACTGCGGGGCACTGTAGGACACCGCCTGGAGGTCAAGAATGTCGACTTTACAGCAACGTACATCTGCACTATCGGAAAGTCAACCATCCAAGATCAAATTTAGGGGCTACTCCTCGTGAAAGCAAGAGTTCAGAAATTGACTTTAATGGCCCGTAAAATCAACAGAATGGGCTTGGTAGCGTGGACTCATTGTTTAGAAAATAGACCTCATGGGGTTGAGCTCAACCTAAATGCCCAGTGTAGACCAGGCCTAAGAAAGAGGACTGAGGAAATAGGAGGATTATCCAGAAAGTCTTGTTTATTTTGTAAAAAAGTAGGCAGGGAGGGATGGAAAGTTGATTAAAGTTATCTTTTTTTTTTTTTATAGGAGAAGAAGCCAAAAGAGTTTATAATGATGCTCAAAACCTACTAAAAACTTTGATTCGGCAAAAGAAATTGCAAGCCAAGGGCCTGGTTGGGTTCTGGCCAGCGCAGAGTGTTCAAGATGACATTCATTTATACACAACGGAAGAGGCATTGCGGTCTGCAGAACCAATAGCTACATTTTACGGCTTAAGGCAACAGGTAGGAAGATGGAGTATTTGCTTATCTAGTATAAAGTTATTTGTAGTATAAAGTTCATGCTGAAAATGAACTTAGCTATAATCTGAGAGAACAATCTACGAAGGAACAGTCATCTCGTGATACCCTGTCTGATGCTAGGCCTCTGTGTAAACTTCACTTGGAAAAGTCTCACTGGCACCCTTCATGATGAATGTGACTTCCTATATTCAGTTGTCTTCCTCCTACTCTGATTTCTCTCTTGGATTTTTGAGAAGCTGTTTCCTTTCCCCATAACACTTATGTTCACTTTTCATTCTTTCAGTTGTGAGGGGTACATGGTGTATGTGCAACTTTGAAAATAGTGTTTAATAATCCAGCTGGATTGGTACACAAAATGAATTGTTTGAAGTGACCAGGCCCAGAACCCTCTGAAACGTTGAGCACCTGGGAAGTCCTATTTAGAATGATAGTAGGTCATGGCTCTCTGCAGCTTACAGGATCAGGTCCCAACAGTTCTTATTGTGGTAACTAATGTGAAATCTTCTGTCTTAAAGATGGAAAAGGCCTCTCAACTTACCGGCTTCATCTCCTAATGGCCAGTGTTATATTGGTCTTTATTTTCTAATGCTTAGTCCACTGAACAAATGATTAATAATTTGTTGCAAAATCAAGATACATTTTTTCTCAGATCTGCCTGACATTTCTTTTTTCCAGTATCTTGTTCTTGCTTTATGTGCACAACGTTCAGATAAGGTAGAAAATACCAGTATTTGATTTGTAGAACCGCTGTACAGAACTGAAAGGAGAGGTTTTTCCCCCTCTGATTGATAGATGGAAAGGCCTGGCATATAATACTTGCCTCCTTGATCTTAACAGGAATCTAGAAGTCCTTGTGGTTTAAAAATAACAGGATTTCTCCTGTCAAGTTAGGACCATTTCTAGGTCTGCCTGAGTCATGAGTTTGTTTCTTTTTTTAAAGGACTTTTCTTGTTTGATGCAACTTTTTCTTTCTTTTGTTTTTATTTTTAGGCCGAAAAGGACTCTGCCTGCACAGACCCATATCACTGCCTCTCAGACTTCATAGCCCCCTTAGACTCTGGTGTTTGTGACTATTTAGGCCTGTTTGCTGTGGCCTGCTTTGGGGTAGACAATCTGTGCAAGCAATATGAGAAACAGTGTGATGACTACAATAGCATAATGGTGAAAGCACTGGGAGACCGGATAGCAGAGGTAACACATTTTATTGATTGCATGGCTGCTTGTACCTTGCTCTGACTCTTTGTTGGGCTCATGTGAAAGTCAATTCTTTACCTTCTTGGATAAAAGCAGGTGTTGTATTTCACAGTGCATGCTGCTCATGAAATCTGAAATTAAATTATTTGCCACTGAATGTGTGTGAAGAGAATTTCACCCGGTATGTCTAAGATCTTCTCTTCAGTGGGTGTTTGTATTGATTTCAGTCGTGTGCCAGATTCTGATGCAAAATTTCTAATGTAAACAAGGAAGGCTGAAATTTGCAGAAGTTGAATTCCTCCAGTTTCCAAAAGAGCTAAGCTCGTCTGACACAAGTAGCAGCTTTGTGTGTCTGTACTAGAAGGTTGTGATGGTGCTGGCTTATCTGTCATGGCTGAAACCAGGGCAAATGCCTAGTGTAGGCAAGGTCTAACCATCTTCTACACAGCTTGGCACTGTACATCGTGTCACTACTTCTAGCTAACAAAATGTATTGTCATCCTATTACCAGCCACTTCACCACCTCCGGTACACAGGCTTGTCAAACACCCGCAAAAAAATAGAATTGGTGAAAGAAATGCTTTGTGTTCATGTTTTAGTAGAATCAGTTTGCTTGTCTGATGCTTATTTACCCATTCTGAGAGTCCCTAAAAGAAATAAATGAAATCTGACTGTCATTTTTGGCCTGGACTAAATTAGTTTAATTGTCAGTCTCTACAAATTAAAAGAATATTTACACTTGTTCCCAGGCATTTGCAGAGGAGCTCCATGAAAAGGTCCGAAAAGAATTCTGGGCTTATTGCAACAATGAACAGCTGGATATTTCAGACTTGCGCAGGATTAGATATGATGGAATTCGTCCAGCACCTGGGTACCCAAGTCAGCCAGACCACACTGAAAAACTCACCATGTGGAAACTTGCTAACATTGAAGAGGCAACAGGTACCTGCAATCTTTTTTATATCCCCTTTGACCTGAATAAGGAATTAAAACTCTTGTGACAAAGTAGCCAATGCAAAGCTGCATAAAAACAAAAATCAAAACCATTGTAGTTGGTCCTCCCCTCCCCTTTAGGCAAGGAGGGTTTTTTTTTTAATGGAACATGATCAGTTGGATGTGCTCCTGTGTGTTAGTAAATTTGTAGTAGAATCTAGTTTGCATTTTAAAAAACACATTTCTAATATCCTAATGGTTGCAAGCAAACTTTCGAAAGGTGAACAACAGTGTAGACCAATGCAGTTATATGTATGTCAGTCTGTATAGAGCCTCAAATTAGACCTCTTAGAAAGTGTGAACTGCCCTTGTCCTCTTCTGTTGGTGATTCAAATGTCAGTTATCTCACTGCTAATCACACAATCCCAAACTACCTTGTTATATTCCCAAAACCCCTAATACTCCCTTCCCAGATGCCAAAATGTCTAGTTTGTTTCTAACAACTTCTATATTGTAGATCTGCATTGCTGATACAAAAATCAGCAGCATATTGCAAATGGAAAATGTAGTGCCAGAGGAAAATACATTTGTTTAAATAAAAATAATACTAGGAATATTGAACTATTATTAATTACCCTGTTTAGTTCATTAAATCTGCATTTTTGAATTTGCCAAATGCTGTCACAGAATTTTCAGTTGCCAAACAAGATGTCTTCAGAACTTAGGCCTGTTACTAACCAAAATTATATTTTTTCTTACAGGTATTCAGTTAACTGAATCACTAGCAATGACACCTGCCTCTGCAGTTTCAGGTCTCTACTTCTCCAACCCCAAATCCAAATACTTCGCTGTTGGTAAAATATGTAAGGATCAGGTAATTTCAATTCCATGATATAGTTGAGCTACAAATAAACTGATTGAATAGTTGAAATAGGTGTTTCTGAATATTTCAGAAACATTGAATCATGCAGACTTGCTAATCAGTGTATTATAATCTTTCTCCTATTGTTTCTTTGCAGGTTGAAGATTATGCACAGAGAAAAAATATGCCAGTGGCTGAGGTTGAGAAATGGCTGGGGCCTATTCTGGCATATGATTTGGAATAAGTGTTTGTGGGATGCTAGGAACAAGCATCAGCCTTGCTCTTTCCAGTTTCTTCTCCAAAAAATAGAACAGAGCTGGACTTAGAGTCTTGTACTTTGCATCAGTTGCATCGATCAGCTCTCAGGGGGCGTTGGAAACTATTCACTTTGTAGTATCAGCCACTTACAAAATCAAAAAACCTCACCACATTTTTGTCTGATTGTTTGTTAATTGTTGGCAAAATAGTTTTGTATATAAATATGCCTTTTGTCAAGGGAATAGTGTTGAAATCCTCTACAGATCTCAACTATAATTGTGCATTTCTGTACCCAGATACTATAACTGGGCTAGATATAAAGTCAGATGTATGGTTTTCTTTTCAGTGGTGGAGGCTTTTTGATAACTGGCTCACACTTTAATAATCTTGGAACAAATAGTTGCACTGAAGCATCCCATTGACTAGGTAAAATAGTGCAGAATTTGGTTTCAGGTCTTTAAATGGCATGTATATCAGCAAGCCAAAAGACACGAAAATAGCATAAAAGAATGTCTCATAAGTAAAGGGGAGTTCACTTACTAGGTAAGGAACAGCTTGGGAAACCAGGCCCCATGCTCATGTAGCTGTGCTGTTGTAGCAAAAAGAAAGTTGTAATACTAATACTATTTTAATTATTTTTGCTGCATCTACTAAAGTAATGTGGTTTTCTGAAACAATCTCAGTAATATTGTATTATCCTCAAGAATTAAATGGTTTGAGCACAGAACTGGAAGTCTTGAATACTCCCAGCTCTGACAGGTCTTCTTTGTCTTTGGGCTAAACAGGTAATCTGTCTGACTCATTTGTAGCTGTAAAATGGGGATAATCTATCCTACCTCACAGGTGTGTATTATGAAACTTAGTTGTTGTTTGTACACCACTTTTGCAGATGAAAATAGATATTTACTTTAATATGTGTTACCTACAGGCAAATCTTTGGGTGCCTGATTTTTAAAGCTATGGTTGTAATATGTTTGCTTACTCATCCTGAAGAAAAGGTCTCTGGGAAATAGCTGCTATGTTTTTTTCACCCAGTTGCTGCTTTTTAAGCGAAAACATCATGTTGGAAAATCTGTTACCTGGTAGAATTTTGCATCAAATTACTGTGCTTGGTCATCTGATCTGAATGTAAGCAAGAGGTAATGCTGCAAGTTTAGTCTAAATAAATATTTTATTTTGAGTAAATTCACTGTTTGTAAATATTTTTAATAATCTATGAGGTAGGCCTAATATTATAGCTCAGAACTGTGTGTTTAATTATTGACTTACATAAGAACATAAGAACAGCCATACTGGGTCAGACCAAAGGTCCACCTAGCCCAGTAGCCTGTCTGCGGAGGTAATGCTGCAAGTTTAGTCTAAATAAATATTTTATTTTGAGTAAATTCACTGTTTGTAAATATTTTTAATAATCTATGAGGTAGGCCTAATATTATAGCTCAGAACTGTGTGTTTAATTATTGACTTACATAAGAACATAAGAACAGCCATACTGGGTCAGACCAAAGGTCCACCTAGCCCAGTAGCCTGTCTGCGGACAGTGGCAAGCACCAAGTGCCCCAGAGAGGGTGGACCGAAGACAATGATCAAGCGATTCGTCTCCTGCCTTTTATGGACCTAACCTCCATGAAATTATCTAGCTTCTCTTTAAACTCTGTTATAGTCCTAGCCTTCACAGCCTCCTCTGGCAAGGAGTTCCATAGGTTGACTACATGCTGTGTGAAGAAGAACTTTCTTTTATTAGTTTTAAACCTGCTACCCATTAAATTCATTTGGTGTCCTCTAGTTCTTCTATTATGGGAACTAATAAATAACTTTTCTTTATCCACCCTCTCCACACCACTCATGATTTTATATACCTCTATCATATCCCCCCTCAGTCTTCTCTTTTCTAAACTGAAAAGTCCCAGTCGCTTTAACCTCTCCTCATATGGGACCCGTTCCAAACCCCTAATCATTTTAGTTGCCCTTTTCTGAACCCTTTCCAAGGCCAAAATATCTTTTTTGAGGTGAGGAGACCACATCTGTACACAGTATTCAAGATGTGGGCGTACCATAGTTTTATACAGGGGCAGTAAGATATTCTGGGTCTTATTTTCTATCCCTTTCTTAATAATTCCTAGCATCCTATTTGCCTTTTTGACCACCGCTGTACACTGTGTGGAAGTTTTCAGAGAACTGTCCACGATAACTCCAAGATCCCTTTTCTGATTTGTTGTAGCCAAATTAGCCCCCATCATACTGTACGTATAGTTGGGGTTATTTTTCCCGATGTGCATTACTTTGCATTTATCCACATTAAATTTCATTTGCCATTTTGTTGCCCAGTCACTCAGTTTGGTGAGATCTTCTTGGAGTCCCTCACAGTCTGCTTCTGTCTTGACTATCCTAAACAGTTTGGTATCATCTGCAAACTTTACTACCTCACTGCTTACCCCTTTCTCCAGATCATTTATGAATAAGTTGAAAAGGATTGGTCCCAGGACTGACCCTTGGGGGACACCACTAGTTACCCCTCTCCATTCTGAAAATTTACCATTTATTCCTACCGTTTGCTTCCTGTCTTTTAACCAGTTCTGGATCCAAGAAAGGACTTTCCCTCTTATCCCATGGCAATGTAATTTACACAAGAGCCTTTGATGTGGGACCTTGTCAAAGGCTTTCTGAATATCTTAAGTATACTATATGTACTGGATCCCCTTGTCCGCATGTTTGTTAACCCCTTCAAAGAACTCTAATAGATTAGTAAGACATGATTTCCCTTTACAGAAACCATGCTGACTTTTGTCCAACAAATTATGTTCTTCTACATGCCTCACAATTTTATTCTTTACTATTGTTTCGACTAATTTGCCCGGTACTGAAGTTAGACTTACCGGTCTGTAATTGACAGGATTGCTTCTAGAGCCCTTTTTAAATATTGGTGTCACATTGGCTACTTTCCAGTCATTAGTTCGGAAGCCGATTTAAAGGATAGATTACAAACCACAGATAATAGCTCAGCAATTTCCCATTTGAGTTCTTTTAGATCCCTTGGATGAATGCCATCTGGTCCTGGATGTTCTTAGAAAGAGTTGAACCATTTTAGCTGAAACCAGAGGTGTAGCGAGCGTGGTATGCTCCTGGGGGCAAAGGCAACATTTGCGCGCGTACACACACACACACACACACACACACACCCCCCTTGCTGCTGCTGCATGGCAGGGCCCCAACCTGGTGCACAGCTGAGCCCGACCCTGGGAGGTGGGGCGGAGCTTGTACCGCATCTTTCTCCACCCCTGCCAGTTTGGGGCTGGGACTCTGCACACACTAACCCGCTGGCGGAGACGGAGGAGGGTCGGTCTGGGGGTGGAGAGAAGTGGAGGAGGCTCCAGCCAGCAGCGGCGGGCAGAGGAGGAGCAGACAAGTCAAGGGATGACAAGAGGAGTGGACGGTGACTAAATTGACACCCCCCTAGCATGGCACCCTCCCCATCCCCCTTTGCTACACCACTGGCTGAAACTTTGCAAAATAACTCAGTTTATTAGTTTGGCAAAGTTATAAGCTATTGAAAACAGCATCTTATAATGGGAAGAGGCAAGCAATCTTAATAGGCAATACTACTAATTCTATCAATAATGGTGTTGCTCTTGTGAGCTTATCTGACCTTTTACCATAATTTTTATATTTGATTTTCTTAACTATTTTGTATAGTTTGGGTTGATACAAGGTGTTATGACACCAACTACTAATAACTATAATTGTGTTCCATATAAATGCTTATTACACAGTAATAAAATGAGCACCCATTTTAATAAGTGATTATAGTTCATGTACAATTTAGTACCATGGAGTTTAATTACACACTCATTTTAAATTGGTTCATTTAATAAAATACAGTCTCACTACTTAAGGATGCTGAGCGCCAGAGTAAAATCCATCATTTAACTTGCGGCTGCTTGTGCAAAGTAAGCAGTGTTACAAAACCACTTTCAGCCTTTTCTGAAGATGATTGTTTTTAGAATTAGCCATGAAGATCTCAGTTCTTTTTAGTGTAATTGTCAAGGCTGATAGACACAAAATTGAACCTGCTTCCTTACTCATCCATTTGCTAAGTCAGTGCAGCATTTTGTGAGTACTTTTGTAAACAAATGCCTCAGACCTCTATGCAGCAAAACACTTAATGTGTTTAACGCCTATGGAATTGAATTGGATTTAAGCACTCTTTAATCTCATGCATAAATGCTTTGTTGCTTTGTACCTTTGATCGGTTGTTCCTTTTAACAAGAAAGGATCACATAAAATTGAATATTGCCTAAGTGTAAGCAGGTGTTTCACTTCAGACCCATGAGTAGTTAGATATAACTCTGATGACAGCACCTCTATTTCATATAAGGGATGGATTGGACCTTGGTCAGTCCACCTCAGATTTCTGAAAATGAAACTAGTCAGAGGGCTTCCTACATAACTAAATAAAATAAGTTCCACAGCTTCAGCATGTCCGTTTGTACAAGCTCAGAGCACTGGATCAGGAGGAGAAATTTAGAACGATATCTTTGGCTGGCACCTGAAGACCACACCTACTGGTCAGCACCAAGATTTATCACAAATACAGGCCTTGCTGTCTCTTTCTTTGAAGTTCCCTTGGGCAGTGAGTCGTGATTCCAGAAGTCTACCGCTTCAATGCCACCTTAAACTGAAGTTCCTAACTTCTTGAGAGACCATTCATTGTGACCATTCAGATTGAACTGGAGAATTTGTGTGTACACTAGTTTAAAATCACTTTTCAACATGTTTCTCTCTACATAGATGATTGTATTATTCAAAGATGAACATTTCTCAAGTTATAAAACTATGTAACTACCTTTCATGTACATTGCAGATTCCTTCTGCAATTCTGAATCCTGACCTTGCGAGAACAAACATATACATATTAGGGATGTAAGCGACTAGCCAACTATGTGATAAGCATATGTTTATTGGATAGTTGACTTGACTAGTCTTTTTCCTCCCTCCCTTGCTGCCTCTGTCAGAGAGAGGCAGCAAGGGGGGGAAGCAGGAGCTGGTGCTGGGGGAGCTGGCTTAAATGCCAGTTCCCCCAGCACCGTCTCCATGGAGGAGGCAGGGGGGCGCAGTGGGGAAGTGGCGGCACTTCCACCTTTGAAAAAAGTGGGGCTCTTGCTACATTTCAAAAGCAGAAGTGCTGCGGGAGCAGGGGCAAGCGGGGCCAGCCCGAAGGCTGCAGCGGAAATGGACTACTTCTCCAGTCTTCCTGAGTCATGGTGGGGACACAGAACCTGCCCCTCTCACGCCCGAAGTTCTGGCATATGCTAAATAGGCAACCAAGGTATCCGGGACCAACTACTTTCGTAGAAAGCTTTTGTCTGTTGGAGTTCTTGGGGTCCCAGCAAATCTTAAGCTTGTAAAGAATGCTCTAAATAGCTTGGTAAAAAAGTACCTCTATGCTTTGTATTTTCCTAGTACTTCTAATCCCTCATATGATGGAGATAGAAGCTAGGCACGGGTTTCACATTTAAAAGAAGCAGCATGCTGCACCCTTGGACTGTCTGCAGTTGTTGTCTAATGTTTCTCTTAACATAGTCCTCACTATGCTCTGAATGAGAGGATATCTGGTTTGCCTACAAAAGACCCTGAGTCTTGAATACTGCCAGAAATTGGTGTCTCAGCTGTCAAACATGCCACAAGAGTAGAGACACAGTTATATGGGCAAAATTTAGAAATAAAACATAAAGAATGTTGACTTCAAAGCTAATATCCCTTCCATCAATTGTTTGTTTCTATGTCAGCTGCAAGATAAAGTCTTAAGTTCTGAGGTGTCAGACAAGAATGTGCCAATAGTCTTGCTTTGCCATTACGATGAGCTTTCCCATGCTACCAGCTCTCAGCCCTGACTACATCCCTCAGACCACTATCAAGAATATATGAAGGACTGAGTTGGAATGAGAGAGCACATGAGAGAGATGATAGTCTGAAGAACAAAGGACCAGGTTCACAAAATCATTTAGGCTTCTAACTTCAATTAATTTTCATAGAAAATTGCTTTGTGGATCTGGACCAAAGCCCATAATGAGGCCTAGAAATGACTTTAGATGGAGACTCACATATTCTTGCTCACAATGTATTTTATCTGTAGTAATGAAAAGAGATTAATACAGTTCTTCCCCCCCCCCCCCTCAAGTGATAAGATTATGGAGATGGCA